CGCTGTCATGTTTACGCTGACCGTATTGAACTGGCTGGCCAGCAGCGCACCGACAAAGTAAGTTTACCGGACCTACCTTAACTTTTCTAGGTCGTCGGATAGAAAATCCTGTGGCGGTTTTAGAAGCAGCTTTCCGTGACCATCACCGTACGGACCGAAACATGGAAAAAATGACTTATAACACTGAAAATTTGTGCTAATCCTGCAATGGTGCTAGAAGTGACTTTCAATGACCATTGTTTTGCAAAACAAATCAAACCAAACCGAAGCGAATTCGGTAACACATGCCAACCCAACATATGAGATTAAAAAGTTCATCGTTTTAAAAGTCTCAATCAATTTCCAAAATCAATCCTTGTCCGCTGTCTCGAGAACGTCCACTAGACGTAACCATTGGGGATGGCTCAGTGGTTAGAGCGCGAATTTACTGACCGAAAGGTCCGTGGTTCAAACCCGACATATGCACCTCGACTTCTGTTTACGCTCGGGCAACCTGACATTACCCCAACCTTTGTGCTTCCTTCAGGCGTCATGGCACCTGGGCACCGAAAGGGTGTTACAGCTGAACGGTAACCATCGGAATGAAGCAACGCTACTGCTCCACACCCATGATTTGTGACATTAAAATTTATACTGTCCAGGACAGGTGTATTCTGTGTTCTGTGGAAAGCTGCCCATCACCAATTTAAGCTTCGTTTACTTCGTTTCTTCTTATGGTTGCGGCCAATTTCTTTCACCACTTAATCAGCTGCACAGTGTGACTCCCGTAATAAAAATCCTTTGGGAACCCGACTTTCAAGAATCACCTTTCAGTAACAGTCCGCTGGGTGACTTCTGGCTCCCCACCGGCGTGAAGGCGTCCTTAAAATGGCATCATTTGTTCACTATATAGCAGACATTCTATCAGGCATCTCCACTTACATGCCGCTAGGCCTAGTGCGTTGCATGCACTGCCCATCTGTTTTCACGAGATGGGAGTAACCTTTTTACAAAGCCGTAACAACTCAAGTGGTGAACTTTTTCACAGTTAGCGGTGCTAATCAGCCTGGACTAAATCTGCTGTGGTCGCACAATTGGTCTTTGATTCATTTTCTCGCTCGCTTGAGACAGCCTATAGCGTACCCAACTGACCACAGCTGTTTCTATAGGATGGTCCAGAAAATTTTACTGGCTTTCCTGACCTGATCGTGTTGGGTTAGACGGGCCCAAGCCTGATCGGTCCATATCCTGACCTGTCAGGGTGTCCTTTCTGGTCCATAGCTTGTTTGCCAATCAATCGTGCAGTTGATGTGATCTTCGCTTAGTCCGAGTCACCCGCCTCCAGATAATCTCCCAAATTCTAAATGTGGTGTGGTAAATGCTAGTGTGCATGCGAACCAATTCCAAAGAGGTTGACTACGAAGTTTTCAGGAAATGGAATATTATTACCTACAGCAGTCCCATAGCTCGAGCGTGGACCGTTAAACAGTGCGCAGTTGCGCACAAACGAGCTAACTTTGCTGCACCGACTATCATGAGTGTCTCTTACTATATAGGCATCCATTAACCGACTTAAATTGCAACGTCAGGTGTGCTGAGCGATGGAAAAAACAAGCCATTATTACCGGCTACATAGAATACCGATTATCTGCAGATGCTACAGAAAGGCTGAAAATGAGAACCTTCGGAAAAGCTCATGGTCCGGAAGTGTCCCGGAACGAATGGTGACTGTTGCCCCTAATTTCGTCCGAGGATAACCAAACGGCATTCCTCCGATTTCCGGCCCCTTAGTTTATTCGGTAATGGCATAAATCGCTTTCCGAATGCCGGCTGACCACCTGATTCATGCATCGGCTAATCCCTATACGACTTAGGGCAAGTCAGTCAGCGGAATCCGGCCTCCACCTGTCACCTTGAACAATGAAACAGTTCTCGCGCAACCATCGGATTCCGTTGGACAGCAATAATTTTCTTTTCAAGGTATGAGATTTCGCATCACCCTTCGGAATTCAAGATCCTGAACGAAAATATCGGGAGGAATGTTGTTCTGGCTCGCTCGGCCCAGTGGATAGGATTGCGGGCTTGTATCTGGATTGCGGCGTCATTTCTTCACAGGCATTTTTAAATCGACCCTTCTTCTGATACTTCATACATTCGTTTCCTTCCAGGACTGTACTCTATGGTACTCCCTCTATCTAGCGACCCTTCTCCTCCAATACGACCGTCGAAATCTGCACGACTATTGCGGTGTTAGGCTCTTGGTCCCTTGTCTCTCACGACTGAATTTACCTGGCTTTTTCGAAACCGCCGTAGAGCGCGAATTCGCTTCCCTGTGAAACCATCCAAGTCTGCTTTGTTGATGCGTGTTTGTGTCCTTCTCTCCAAAATACTTTTGTTTAGGGTACGCACCTTTCTTCTTTCTTCCGTCTACCCCTACAGAATCTGACCAACGCTTTCATGCCCCATGACACGCAGAGGAATGGCAATGCGCAGTTCTCCTATGAAGCCTTCTTGACTGCTGCTTTCACTGTTGTTGCCTGAAGTGTATTGACTCGTGTGCTCTCGAAAATCTTGCTCTTTTTGATATTACGACAAACTTCTTTATTTTATTCCCATTCTCTGAAGGGTGTTCCGTATCAAACCATTGTGTCGATTTTGCAATTGCTGTGCTTTTTGCTGCTTTTTCCATAAACCGTGGTGCGGTGTCTTGAGTTGCTTTCACGTCCCTGGTTCAATTCGGCATTTGCATAGTTTCCCATACGACACCCCTTTTCGTCCGTTCTGCGTGCTGTGGCCGCGATGTTTGGAGAACGGATTGGAAGTGCGCTTCTATTGATGGCCTGAGAACCTAGAACTTTGCTGAGCGACCAGTTTCAGTGATGAATTTAAATTTTTGGGAGGATGGTTGATGTGAACATGTTTATTTGGTTCCTCTTACAAATCGGAGAGTTTTCTCCGAACCCTATTCTTCCTCCTCACGTCGCTTGGAACTGGTGAAGGGGAATGCATCTGGTGCCGTGATGCGCGATCATTAAAAACGTTGTAGTGGATTAGGATTAAATTGGTCGCAAGTTGCTCTGTTCGACTTTGACGCTTTCGAACAGTTCGATGCCATAGGTTACAACTCGTTTTGACCCCCGCCTGATCACTTCTTCGGAGTAAACTGTCTCTGTGGAAGGAAGGGCAGAATAAGCAGGATTTATTCTTCCCCCAGTAGTCCTCAGGTCGACCGCCACGAAAGATACTTTCCAAGTTCTGGTCGGGAACAAACCCTTGTCATATTGTTTCAGCATGACCATCCCAAGTTCTTCCGGAAAGGCTTCTTAGCGACCTAATACTGACGTAGTCTTCGTTCTAGACTATTTTTTTTTACTAGCGTAGAGATATTCCCGGATTTGGAACTGCTCACAGTTGGCTCATCAAGCGATTGGTTTCTGATGTTGTAGGGTTGTGACATATGGCTTGATTAATTCGGCACATCGGGCCCTCCTGAATGACTGACTTTCATTCAAAGAGCCCTTCAAATAGACGAGCAGTCAACATTCGCAAGCAGCGGTAGGTCGTACGTATCGCCCCAAACACCGCGTATGAATTTTTTGTTCACAAGCTGGGCATGCTGTCGGCTATCGCAAACTCCCCCATGATGTTCGTGACGGAACATATACGATTAAAGTGAACTCATGTGAAATGCCAGACACCCTGTGCTTTTGTTGTTGTTTTCTATGCTGTATTCTTTCCTTCCAAATCCTGTCAGTAGATTTTGCTCACACCAGTTAGCCTAAGTTGATTTACTCGGCTCTCTGTTGTCAGACAAAGCATGCTTATGTGTTAGCTTCGCGTCTTTTGTTTATTTTTCCTCCAGCACCGTAGCCATTACCAACTTCAAATGCTTTCGTAGCTGTTCGCATCTTCAAGTTTCATAGCTGTTTCACACAGACCATACGCTTTGCATATGATTTCACCGACTTATTCGTTCAGCCATATGCCAATGAGCCCCACTGTTTCCGGTATGGGTGATCTTTTGTTTACCTGTCCGATCTGATGGTCTCAGAAAGAGTTGAAACACGCGACTCACATGTGCACAAACAAAAGTGGTTATGAAATTTTCACTGTTCTCTTCATTTCTCAACTATTATCGCCACAGACATTATTTCTAGGATCCTCGTTCTCTGTAACCTCAAAAAAAAGTCTGGATAAAAGCGGAGGAAGAACACTGTTGACATGTTTTGACAGCCATAACTGGCAGGGTCTCCGATCGATTGCATGGAAAATCACATGTATTCCATCTTGCCTAGCCAAATTTCTTCTGCGTTTGCGCCACTAGATTCAACGTCAAAACTAGCATCCCTCTCCATAGACGATGACATGATTAGGATGAACCATGATCAAGTCATCACATCCAGTAATTGCGCAACTTGTACAGCCAGAATGTTGTGTCCCTTGTTGCGAACCGGATGATACTATTCTGTGGTTTTGATTTTGAAGAAATCAGATAATTGGGCTTCACAACAACCATGACCACACTTGTCGTGTTGTGGTGACCTCGGGCTATGTCGTTTCACTGTGAAAATGCATCTGTCATCAATTTATAGTGCGTGATGTATGTCCGGGTTAACAACTGCGCCACGGTGGCGTGCTGGGTAATTTCCCACTTTCGTTCTCCTTGTGAAACTCTACGGTTTGTTCCAGCCCCACTACTTCTTTGCCTAGACACGGTGATTTCTTTCGCCTGTCTCATTCAATCGTGCAAGCACGAACCGACGAATCTAACCCTCTACCTTGTGGATTTGCCAGTACAATGTAGTTTTCTGTTTTCCGAGTCTAGCTGTTTGCCTGTTCTGTTCGTTCATCTGTTGGGTGTGTTGCTTCCATCGTAGGAAGAAATTCTTGCAGTCCAGTCTAGCCAACATGCTGACAATCCCAGGTCTTCTAGGTTGGCTATTGTTGTGTTTTCCCCAGGTTTTTTTCTATTATGTACTTTTAACCCGCCAACTTTTCTGTCCACTCCTCTTTTCCATTAGAACCTTACTAGCGCCTTCATGGTACACGATTATAACAGGAATGGATACGCCCAATTCTCCTATGAGGATTTCCTCACCGCGGCCTTGAGAGTGCTGGTTTGACCTCTACTCTATTTACCTGGCTACATATGGATCTTTATCGATACCATTGGATCATTGCTTTGTCTAACTGACAAATCTGCCCATGTGTAACCCATCCCTCTTGGTTCACCATTTTTTACTAGTCGATTGGATTAATATTTTATGCTTCTGGCTGAACCAGACTTATGGAACTTGACTTGCTTTTTCAAGGCTTTTTCGGATTCATCTGAACAACGGAAATTTAGGCAACGCTCACTGTTTTTCATGTGCAATCGGCTGTTTGTTTACGATAACAAAGCGCTTTGAAAATGTGCTGTGTGACATCCATCTGTTAAACATTTGATGGTTGTCAAGGGTGGTCAGTACTTATGTGGGTGGGATAGGACTTTTGCTGTGTCACCAGATTCACTAGTATCATTGAGGAAAAAACATACTTCATCTAGCCCGACATAACAGTACTTACAAGGTTGCTGAGTAATCTTCGGCGGCCCATTGCCGGTTTCGCCCTTTGAGCAGCTCACCAAGTAGGCGTGGTCCTCGAATTCTCATGACATTTCCCCCCTAATTGAGGGTGGTGCAAATCAACGAGGGACTCAACTCAGTGTTGGCTGAGTCTATCGCTTATAACGATCTTCAGCCGAATGTGCTGCGCACCGGCTGTTCCATGTTAAAGTTGAGACAACAGCTGAGAAATCGAATCAGTATAACTGCGCCTGGGGTTCCGGAGGTATGTTGATATTTGAGCTAGTTTTCCTGTTTATCTACCAGCTAGGATCATTTGGGCGTTTGGAAAGCCCTTATTGAATAGGGGAGTTTAAGTGTTCTGCCACCATCACACGGATATGGCAAGATCCCGTTAGATTGTCCCCATTCGCGTTATCTCTGGTGAAAAAATCGGCCTGAAAATGCAGAAATTGTTTCGTCACACTCGTTTTATGGGAAGCCTGAGATAACAACCTAGTCTTCGCACAACTGAAGACCGGCGGAAAAACCGTGGAGATCTATTGGAAGTAATGGCCGAATTCGAACAACTGCTCCCGATCCACCTCTAGCCTTTTGAACTATTCACCACTGCAGGGTAGCGGTTTCTCGATTTTCCACACTTAGCTGATTCCGCCTGCTGAATTGATCTGTTAGGATCCAGCCACTACTAAATACAACATTGTTGTGTCGTGTGATGCTAGCTGAGTGATTTCGGAACTTGATGCAGTTTATTCTGTCACGGTAGTATAGTTACTTGAGTGGGAAAACCTCCAGGAAGAAGACAAAGGGCACCAGATGAAGATTGGCTAAATTGCAGGTGAACCAATAGGAAGAAAGAGCGCTGCGGCTCAGCTGGCTACAACAGAGATTAAATAAAATCTCAGTGAAATATTACAAAGGGTGGAATTGTTCGTTAGGACCTGACTGTCCTAACAAACATAGACATGTCTTGAAACAGAGACAGGCAGATGACTGTAATTTTCCTTGGCATACTAATCTTCCGATATCTAGATTAGGAGTAGAGGTTGAAACGAAACGTCCATCGTAAGCTTATATGTAGTTGTTAGTATCTTCATTTCAGCAGCTACAAACGAGGGCCAGTCCAAAGTCTGTTCCACGAGGCAGACTCATCTGTACAACTGAACAACTATCGAATGAAAATTTGGTGAAAAGGGATCTGTTGGGCAAGCGCTACGTGAAAAAGTTAAGTGCTTTATTGGTTGTTGATCTGTTCTCCGAGCTTGGCAATAGACTTGCAAACATTTCGGCGCCATACGGGGAGACATCGTCGTTGCGCCCGGATGATGCCTCCTCGTATGGTAACGAAACGTTTGAAAGTCAATTGCCAAGCTCGGAGAACAGATCATCAGCTACTTGGACCTCCCATTTAATGTTTTCTTACAGAGTGAAAGAAGAAGATAGCAATCTCAAACAACAGACAGGAGCCTCAGTCCGTTTTGAACCACAATTGTAGAGCAGCTCAGCTAGACAAGGGAAGTCGAGAGGCAGAGGTGGACCTTCCGGTCAGTAAATTCGCGCTCTAACCACTTGAGCCGTCTCATACATAGGTCATGTTTCCTTTGATTGAAGTGAGTTTGTGGACCGGCTGTCATTCTGTATGTCTTCAACTGCACTCTTCGGGGGTCTTTATGTTCTATCCTCAATGGTTGCCATCAACTCGCTCTAATCATGGTGTTTTTTTCCAAATGTGGTAACTGCCCAACGAGTAAGTGCCTGGGTTAGGTACCCACTCGATAAGATTTTTACCTTCTAGGACGAGTGGAAGGCATTCGACAAAGTTGCTTTCGAATAAGTGTTACCCCCCGACAAAAACTTTTTGTGGTGACTGTCCGATCTCAATGTATAGCAGAATACACGTTAATCTATGTTTAAGTTCTCACTTGCTTTACAAAGTGGTGTTCAATGGGTTCACCTGAACCACTCTTCATTAGATATGCTGCGCAAATACCCCTACACGTTCAAGTTGGACCAGTATAGTCATATATGTAAAACCAGTTCAATTGAAGCATAAGGCGTCATTTGCGTAACGCATTAGCTAAAAGAATACAATAAACGGGTGGCTTAGCGGACTGTTGCTTCAACAAGATTTAAAGTTGTCATTATCATCATCATTGTCGTACTTGTCGTTTGTGTGGTACATCCATTCTGGCTTGAAATAGGGTTGAAAGAGGTTCTCAGACGACTCCCCATTCGAGCCACACAAAAGCCAAGTTTCTGATCCGTTATTGCCCTAAAAAAGTTTCATTGTATTTAATTCACATCTGATCGGATCGAATAAAGTCGTATGTGTGGATCCTTATCTGAGTTGTCATCTTAAGCCGCTGGTGTAACTTGCCTGGTTGCCTTTTAGTTTTCGTTACTGATCCACATTTCTATTGTTGTAAATTAGTAGGAGGATTCGCTGGTACTGAAAGAATAAGTACAAGTACACGTAGCATGGATGACATCATGCTCCTGGGGATAGACTCGGACAGCCGACTCTTCATCCTGTAAGAGAGACGTTGACGGTTCGGGTCCGTTCTCGGGCGTGTCCCGCCGATCATGCTACGTGTACCTGGACTTCTAATGTCAATACGTCCATATTGCATATAATGTATCGTTTTATGTGCAGTATTAAACTCAGTTTTACTATACACTAATTGTACTGGATTGTGTCTGTTCCTTGCGTACACTTGAAAACGTATCACTTTAAAACTCTGGACATTCATGAGTGTTGAACCTATATAGCAGTGGTACAGATGAATTCCTTTGATCACCTTTGTATTTATTATCGGATAGCAATAAGCACTCGTATCTGTGTGCTTTGAGCGCACCTGACAACTGATGTGGGGTCCAACGGTTTAGTTATTTCCACTTCACTTCATGATTTTGGCTCATCGCTGGAGCATTCCGATGGCTTTTTAGTCATCCTCTGGTCCTATTCGCTTGGATTTACACAGATTACAGGGCTTTCGGCTGTTTACACATGCGCCTCAACGTAAACTTCATGTGACGACTTATAATGCGCCCCAATGCATCGGCGCATCCGAAAATGGATGCCAACCCATCACTGAAGAGGGAATATTTTCGTCAAGTCAGTATGCGCTATGGTTTTCGTATTAAACTGTCGATACGTCCGTGAATACATCGTAATGAAGAAGCTGTTACATCAGTAACAAAAAATGTCCCCAATTTTACTGCTGACGTTGACTGACCGTCCACTCGAAGGGCCGGACGGTCGAACTTAGGGGAGCCAAATAGTGCCATTACATTATAGAAAAGCAATATAAGAGCTGTACTGATGCATAATGACCTCTGGGAGTAGAATTTGCTCAGCGATGGTCAATAATTCATTCTACCATGCTCGTATTAAGTTTAGCCCTGAGTGTCAGAATCCTATCCAACATAACTATTTTGGGTGTGTTCATACCCACGACTTGTATAGTACGGATGGCACCGAAGACACTCGTTCTGCTGCCGCGGACAATTTGGAACATTTTGGTGGTATGAATGAGGCTGGAAAGAGCTATCAACCGAACAATCAAACCAGTTCGCGGAATAGAGTAGAATATGGAACTAGGTGTCACCACGTTGTTCTGCTCAGCCTTCCGCAACCCATCCAGAACATTGAAATAAGTATGTGATCATTAACTGAATCTGGGTTTTCGGAGTATATGGAGTCAGTTGGGAAGCTCATTCACTCAAGTAGCACGTGAACAACATTGGATATCATAAGTACCTTTTGAAATGAGGATCACCTGCTAATCTGATCACGAGTGAGGGCTGAAAACGCTATGCAGCAGTAGCTTGACAGAATGCTAAGGTTGTGTCAAGCTGTGGAGCGAACTCTTTTGTGTTTAAACTAACCAATTTCAAGATCGATATTGTGACGCAGAGCGGATAACAGTACGCTATGATAAATGCTGTAAGACTTAAAACTGGTTTACTGACAGGTTTATACAAACGATAACATTTTGTAAGCTGGTCCAATAAAGTCTTCATACAGTGGACACAAAATCGGCACCTAACTGTTCGGATTTTAGCTTCTGAACAGCAGTTTTATTAGAGAGAGTGTGTGTGTATGTGTTGAAACACCGGCCTGAAGGTTGCGGTTTCGAAATTCCCTGAATTTGGTCAGATGTGAGTTGCGAGTGATTCCCAATAAGGATGAAACAGCCGTACAATACTCCTCTACTTTTTAGCATAGACTGGCGTGTCAGATGTGGTTGCGAGTGATTCCCAATAAGGATGAAACAGCCGTACAATACTCCTCTACTTTTTAGCATAGACTGGCGTCACTGACGGGATGGAATCTAAATTGAAAATAACGACGTCTCCTCACACTATGGTCGAAATATATTTTATCAAAGCGTCCAGAAAGGGCCACCAATCATCATTTCTTAAAAGTGAGGCTACGGTTATGAGAAGCCTTTCAGGAAGCGCATCTTCTTGTTCAGTTTACTGACCTTTCGCACGTACAGAGATATGGTATGCTTATTAGTAAAAGGGTCAGCAGAGTTTACTGATTAGTCGCACTTTTGGGCTTTGTGGTTTGACGCGACTGGATGGCTGAACCCACTTCGGTAAATCTGAGGTCATTTCATTCCCCGCGCAACCGTATTCCACAGACGCAAAATATTAGACAATGGCAAGTGCCTAGCAAACACCAGTCGTGTGGGCTGGGTGAAGGCGCCCCCACCTTAAAAAGCAAATAGCTTTCTTGGACCTTTTGCTTCTAAATCTGCCTATATCAGGTTTTCTGTTTACAACAAATAGAATTTTCATAAAGGAAACTACTCATAAGGTTGCTGAAAACTCTTCGACAGCCCACGACCGGTTTCGCCCTTTTTGAAGCTCATCAGGTAGGTGCAATCTCCGGGGTTACGTCAACCCCTTACGTTGTACTTGAACATAAATTGGACTCATTTCGATTTCAATTTTCCTACCCCTGGAATTCGGCATTGAACAACTAAAGGACAGGAAAATCGGTACAACGTATTTTATAATACATCAGATATCCAAATCGACCTAATCAGTAATGGTTGGTAGATGGTTAAGCCGAGAAAAGTCTGAATGTGTTCAAAATACCCATAACGATGAAAGGAATGTCTGGAAGAAATGTGGTCCCACGAAAACCAAATCTATGCCCTGAGTTATTTTAAGACTCGCCTAATGCCATGCGCATACAAACGAGGTCACAAAGTCACCAGCAGACAGCACAACGTAGTAAGAAATAAAATGGTCAAAACTAAATGGGATAAGCAATGTTCCAGTTAAAGAGAAAAGTCAAAGTCGAGCTGATGCATTAATAGTTCAAGTAGAGTTCCAAGCACTGCTGCCTGTACTTATTTACGTATTATTAGATTTATTCTTACATCACACCTGGGTCACTGAACGATATTCTTTGACAATATTCCGGTTTATTGCTTTACCAGAGTGGCAAGCTCAATTTGGATACCGAAATGAGCATATTTCCTGAGGAGATATTGATTATATATTCATAAGTGCGCTACTGGTTTGTTTCGCAAAAGTTCGTCGTAACTTCATTCCTTCTCCCGTCAGGCCTGGTCAAACAGGAACCACACCTGATTGTTCAAGCCGATGCCACCAACACGGAGTACCGGTGGGAGTCCTTATGTTTAAATTCCAATGATGGATGCCCAACAAAATCGGGATTTACTAGTCATGACTTGTCACGATGTCCATTAAAGGGATTATGGCAAAATATGAGTAGGTCGGTCGTGCTATTTGATTGTTAGTTCGTTTGCCCACCGTGGCAGTTGCATTACAATTCACTTGTCAAACTCGGCAAAACAAACCAATAATCAAAAGGATTATGATTTACCGATTGAGTTTGAATGTACTGGTCAGGCCGATATCTCCATGATGCTTCCACAAAAGCGGAGAGACGGAGGGTGAGTCTAAGAGGTGTTTATTCTTCACACTTGCCATACATGACTGGCCAAACCTCTGATTTAATGCAGTCAAATGTGCACAAATTTGCTTTGGGGTTGTGGCCCCATATCACTGTGTTGGATTGGTCTCTGAGGGGTATCTACCTGACATTTATGGTAGGAATTATTTTGGGACTGTTTCAAAACTTGACCTTAAGTGCTCAAATTATGTTTTGGACGTGGCCCGAATAATTTCCATTTCAAACCAGTCCTGACGGTAGCAGATGAAAGTGTCTGCCAGGGTACCAGATCATCTTAGTTGAGTTGCTTTCTCACTTATTCGGTCTCAAAGGATGGAGAATCTTAGCTTAGCCACCCTAACTGAAAAATAGGCATACTTTGATCACTTTCAGATGACCGGGTGGAATTTCACAGACTCCTTGTCACTGGTTTTCACCAAGTGAGCAAACTTAGAACCAAGCCAAGCTCACCAGTCTTCGTAGACAGCAGATACGGCTGAAAACCGCATGCAATCACCAAGGTTCCAGATGACTCTTGAGAAAAGTTTGGCTTCAATGGCTGTATGAATCAACGGATATATACTAAAATATTCTATGGCTTACTGAACCGAATTTTCCCGGATCAATCCAATTGTTTGTAATGCACTACTCATGAGGTTACTGAAAACTCTTCGACAACCCACGACCGGTTTCACCCTTCTTGAGGCTCATCAGGTAGGCGCAGTCCCCGAGTTTCCGTCAACCTTATGTTCTACTCATTTGCACTCATTTGCATACTCATTTGCAAACTAATTTGGTTTTGCGAGAGACTCACCTGGAACCCAGCTGAATCTCTCGGTTTTGATGTTTCCAGGCAACTGAATGTGCTGCATCAGGCCAACTCATGTTTCCGTCGCTACGATATTCGAGATATCGCGATATATATATATATATATATATATATATATATATATATATATATATATATATTTGTAATACACTACTCATAAGGTTGTTGAAAACTCCTCGACAGCCCACGACCAATTTCGTCCTCCTTGGGCCTGGAAACAGCAAAACCAAGAGATTCAGCTGGGTTCCAGGTGAGTTTCTCGCAAGACCAAATTAATTTGCAAATGAGTGTATTTCGCCAATCTAATTGTTATTTTTCCCACAATTCTAGTTTGATTGTTCGATGTGTACACTTGGTGTGAGCTGTCATCAAGTCTTGTGACTTTAATAACTATCGTATACAGCAGAAACTGCAGTCTCTAGCCTTTCTTCGCTCCGCACGGTCAGACCGCAACATCTGAACCTTTCAATACTGCACTCTTCGAAGAAGTGCACTGTTTTCGCCACTAAAGTCAAGAAGTATTACCCTTATTTTTCATGACGATGATTATACAGAGGCAGGAGATTCGTGAGAATTAGTAAGATTTTGTCCTCTAATTTGTTTTATGTCAACCCAATACGAAACAGCAGCGTATGTATAGTGTGTCTGGTCAGAGCTCCGGATCAGTAGGCTTTCGAGCAGCATC